GGATTACAGGCATGAGCCACTGCATCTGGCCCACTAGTGAATTAAACTCATTATTTTGAAAAGTGATGAAGATTCAAGTATTCATTCTGCCTTTTCTTTATAAACTATACTAATGAGTAACCAAATAGTAGAAGTAGAGAATTTTCTCTCTAGAGAAGCATTCCAGCTAACATGAAATGATTAAATTATCACCATTTTGCCTCCTTCAAGGAATTAATGACTAAGTGTAATTCTGCTATTATCAGAAAAAGAAACTAGATATCATGTAGCTGCTGCTGCTGACGGAACATACCACCAACTATAAGACAGCTTTGCCAAAAACAAATAATAAAAATTTAACCTGAATTGGATCAATTCTGTAGATCCAACTATCAATTTATAGGAAAAACACAGAGGACAGAGACATTCTAAATACTACCAAGCAGATGCAATCAGCAAAATCTAGACCATGATCAACTCTACAAAATTAACTCAATTTTTTTCTAAAAAAAAAAAATTCTAAGGGAAGAAAACAAGGGAATTCTAGTTCAAAAAGACCTATCACCCAATGTCTTTGGGTGGACTAATCTGGATCTTAAACAAGCTGAAAAAAAAAAGGTGTTATAACTGAAAATTTGAACACTGACTGATATGAAGAAATTATTGGTAAGTTTTTAGGTATGACTGTTATTTTTAAGTTATTTTTTAGAAATATTCACTAACGAAGTTACAAATGACAAACTAACTAACCAAAGATGATACGCAAAACCTCTCCACAAAAAACTAAAACACTGAAAAAATTTAACCTAAACAATTGAAGACATACAACCTTATTCATGAATTAGAAAGTATTAAAAGATGTCAATTCTTCCCAAATTTCCACTTCTTTTCCTCTAAAATTTATATGGAAATACAAAGGGTCAAGAATAGCCAAGGCACTCAAAAAGCAGAGCCAAGTAGGAGGGCGGGCGAGAGGCACCATGGCTCACATCAACACTTTAGGAGGCAAGGCAGGCGAATCACTTGAGGCCAAAAGTTCAAGATCATCCTAGCCAACATGGTGAAACCCGGTATCTACTAAAGGTACAAAAATTTGCTGGGCATAGTGGTATGTGCCAGTAGTCCTAACTACGTGGGAGGCTGAAGCAAGAGAATCGCTTGATGTTGGGAGGTAGAGGTTGCAGTGAGCTGGGATTGCACCACTGCACTCCAGCCTGGGTGACAGATCAAGACTCCATCTCGGAAAAAAAAAAAAAAAGGGGGGGTAGGAGGATTTGCTCTGAGTATTAAAACTTCTTATAAAGCTAGATTAAGTAAACAATGTGATATGAGCACAAGGTTAGGCAAATGATCTAAAGAGGAACAGACTGCAGAAGGATGCCCAGACATTAAGTGGACTCTGGACTCATGACAAATACAGCATGTGAAGCACATGTGCAGTGAAGGACAGATGGTCTTTCAATAAATAGTACTGGGATAATTAGACCTCCACTTGGGGGGAAAAAAAATGGAACCCATCCCCCATGCCTCAGTCACAGACAAAACAACAAATGTTCTAGAAAAGGTGTTCCCAGCAGCCGGGTGCGGTGGCTCATACCTGTAATCTCAACACTTTGGGAGGCCTAGGCGGGTGTATCACAAGGTCAAGAGATCAAAACCATCCTGGCCAACATGGTAAAACCCTGTCTCTACTAAAAATATAAAAATTAGCTAGGCGAGGTGGCGCATGTCTATAGTCCCAGCCACTTGGGAGGCTGAGGCAGAGAATCACTTGAACCCCAGAGGCAGAGGTTGCAGTGAGCTGAGATCACACCACCGAAGTACAGCCTGGCAACTGGGCGAGACTTTGTCTCCAAAAAAAAAAGGAATTTCCAAATATCCTGTAAATGGGTCACACCTGTAATCCCAGCACTTCAGAAGGTTGATGACACAGGAGGATCACTTCAGACACAGAAGTTTGAGATCAGCCTGGGCAACAGCACAAGACCCCAGCTCTACGTTTAAGAAAAAAGTACATGCAGGAATATCCTACTGCAAAAAAAAAAAAAAAAAAAAAAAAGAGAGAAAAAAAGAAAAGAAAAAAGTACATAAAAACTGTACCTTAGGGCAATACAAAAACAACACATGGGGTAGGTAGATCTGCAAGCTGTGGTTTGCTAACCTTTGCTCTAGAAGGTAAGAGATCCTGATCCATGGGTGATGGGGGTGGGGACAAAGGAAGGCAAGAGAATGTAATTTGTAATCTGTAACAGAAAAAGATTTCTTATTCTTCATTTAAGAAATGAGACACAAGGCATTAACAATAAAATACTGATGTATTTGCTATGTTCAAATAAGCAATTCTCAAAAAGAATGAAAAAGGGATTTTTACGACATTACTAAGAGTTAGAATGCAAGTCAAAGTGAGGAAATGGCTTCTACCCAGATTATATAAAGAACTCCTACAAATCAATTTTTAAAAAGACAACAGAAAATGAAGAAAAGCCTTGAACAGGCACTTTCCAAAAGAGCTTACTGAGACGCTACTAAATACATGAAAAGATGCCCAATCTTCCTAATGAGGACATTACAAAAAATTCACAAAACACCCTCAATACACACAGCCCAATAGCTAAAGATCTCAAAACAACCCATACAAATGTATTGCTGAAGACATGAAACAATGCAGCTTCTCATACACTGCTGGTGGAATATAATTACGTACAATAGGCTGGGCATTATTTACTGAAGGTGAACTTATACACACCCTAATATTCTACAATCTACTTCTGGATATAAACTGAACAAAAATGCATTCAGAAGAGCACTAAGAGATACATGGATGATCACAGTAGCATTATTCAAAACATGCTGTGCAGAAAACGGTTAACATAGCAGGCCTGCTATTCTTTGAAAGGCCTGCTTGTGAGGCTGCTCCTTGGCTGGTACTAGGAACTTGGATTTTAGGACAGTTATCATTCCTTGATTAAAAATGGCTCACTGTTATTAAACCATGTGTGCAAATGACATGGTCACGAGAAACACCTGCTTTCTTTCTGCTTTGTCGCTATGGCATCTAAATGTACATTTGATGGGTTTGAAGTGCGCAGGTCCACTAATTCATAGATTTTAATTTACAGATTTCCTTCTATCTCTGCCACTCCTGAGAGAGCAAAACGAATCCCTCCTCTTGTTCCTCCATCTACTCAGTGTGACTATGGCAAAGACAAAGACCTTTATGATGATCCATTCCCCTTAATGAAGAATAAATATATCTTCTCTTCGTTAAGATTTTAGTTTTTCCCTAGCTTTATTATAAGAATATAGTATATAATACATATATAAACTACATGTTAATTGACTGTTTATGTTATCAGTAAAGTTTTAAGTTAGCTGGCCAACAGTAAGCTATTAGTAGTTTTTGGAGTCAAATTATAAACAGATTTTTGACTGTGGAAGGGGTTGGCACTCCTAAACCGTACATTGTCCAAGGGTCAATTATATAATAAAACTGTAAATAAGTATAGGGCAGTTTTAAATACATGAAGATTAAAATTATCTTGGCGTCAAAAATGTAACAGCAGTTGGGAGCAGTGGCACACCCCTGAAGTCCCTGCTACTTGGCGGCTCAGGCAGGAGGATTGCTTGAGCCCAGGTGTTTGAGGCCAGCATGTACAACATGATAAGACCCTGTCTGGGGGGTGGGTGGGGGGTGGAAGACCAAATAATGAAATTAGAAATAACACTTGTAACAATGCATACAAATTAAAAAAAGAAAACAATATCCCCTGATAGAATAAAAGGAGGAAGGGCATAAACAGGCAATTACTTCCACAATCCTAAGACTACAAAGAACCAGAAACATTTGGGGACAAAAACTCCAGCTTTAAATGCGATATATTTTTCACATATAGAACTGGAGGAAAAAAAGGTCTAAATTACTGAATAAGAGAGGTGCACATCCTTGTATCTTGATGTCAGAAATGAAAATGGAATTCTTTTTGGTAGGCACAGACAACATGACTTGAAAGTCTTTTTTTTTTTTTTTTTGAGACAGAGTTTCACTCTTGTTACCCAGGCTGGAGTGCAATGGCGCGATCTCGGCTCACCGCAACCTCCGCCTCCTGGGTTCAGGCAATTCTCCTGCCTCAGCCTCCTGAGTAGCTGGGATTACAGGCACGCGACACCATGCCCAGCTAATTTTTAGTATTTTTAGTAGAGGCGGGGTTTCATCATGTTGACCAGGATGGTCTCGATCTCTTGACCTCGTGATCCACCCGCCTCGGCCTCCCAAAGTGCTGGGATTACAGGCTTGAGCCACCGCGCCCGGCCAACTTGAAAGTCTTAAAGTGCACATATGGTTTGACCTAGCAAAGAAGGGGTTTACTCAGAGTATTTGCAATAGTGAAAATTAGAAACAATGTTTATGTCTAAATAAAAATGATTGGTTAAAATTATCTCTGAATAATGCGAATTGTGGGTGATGTTTACTGGCTGGCTGACATCTAAATGTTTTCCAATGAACATGTAGTACTTTTCCCCAAAAATATACACACGTTCATTTTTTCCCTTAAGCATATCTACAGAGTAGGATGGATGGGGGCTGGGGTTAAAAGAGGACTTAATCATTTTATTTTAAAGAGTTCTGAATGTTTGGTGTATTTGTAAGTTGGACATGGAGTGGTATGTGGTTCAGATCAATCATGAAATGAAAAGACAGATCCCAGGAAGATTTACTCAGAATCTGTCAAGACTGTATTACTGCAACACCCCGACCAATCCCCTCCACTCACCCTCTCTCCCATTCCCAGCCTCCACTGACAATGCAGCCTGCAGCATTCTAACTACAGAGTGGAAAAAAATCATGAATTTTTTATTCATAGTTCTCCCAGTAACTATCCTCATTAAGACTTTAAACATAAGAAGTCATAAATTTAGCTTAGAAAATTTGCGTCCCCTTAAATTCAAATGCTATCTCCTCTTAATTAGAAATCTGTTGTTATATCATATATTCCAAATTGCATAATTAAGAAAAAACTTACCCACAAATTCCCAGTATTTTATATAATCGGCAGGAAATTTTCGTACTTGCAACTGATAGAAATTCTCTTTATTTGGAGAGGTAAGCCATTCCTGAGCCACCTATACAAAGCACAAAAGGACATGCTAAATAGTAACATTTTTCAAAGTTAAGCAACAGTAAAATCCAGAATGTAGAATGTAGGTGACAGAAACTAAAAACTGATTTGTGACAGTTTAATAAAAATTATCTGAACTGTCCTATCCAATTCAGTATGCATTAGCTACATATGGTTATTTACATTTAATTAAAATGTTGGAAAATAAAAATTATGTTCTTCAGTCAAACTAGTCACACTTCCAATGCTCAACAGTCACTTTGGCTACTCTGCTGTGCGAAGATGTGGAGCATTTCCAGCAGTGCTTGAGGTACTGCTGGACGGCTCTGGTAGAATGCTACCTCCAAACCAGATCAGCTCACAAGTCCAAAAGGACCTAGATTTGCTGCAAACCTTAGGGATTTCTCACCAACATGTCATCCTGCCAGTTTATAAAATGCTCTGTATCCATCTCCTGATTTGTCAAAGCTCCAAACTCAGAAGTACCCTTAAGGATCTTCTAAGAAATAAGACAATCCCCAACTCCAGATTTAGGAAGAAGACCACTAGTATAAAAAAGTCTTATTAGCTTTCCCTTAAAAAAAAAAAAAAACCCACTAACAAACATATTACCTTTCGGGCCCCAAGAACGGTTTTGTCTACTCGTAACAGTCATTAAGTATTTAAATCAACAACTGGCCTTCAGTTCCTCTGAAGAAACTTAACAACAAAGACTATTGGTGCTGAGCTGCTTCTGCACTGGTTAACCAATCAAGACTCACAAGGGTTATGCTATGGAAAGGGGAACAAAACAGTACTGAATTTGTGTTACTTGCTAGTGAGATCAGATTCTGGTCCACGATAGTCATGATCAGTTTGTATCATCCAATTTTACATCCAGAGTACCCTACACTAAGGCAACTCCATACAGTCATCTTCAAAAGTGCATTCTATGTTCACAGCATTATTCACAATCATCAAAACCTGGAAACAACCCAAATGTCCATCAATTGGTGAATGGATAAACAAACGTAGTATATTCATACAAAAGAATCTCATTTGGCAGTAAAAGGGCCTATTAACACATGCGACAACACAGATAAGCCTCAAAAAGATTATACAAAGTAAAAGGAGCCAGATTCAAAAGACAACATATATACACTTCTATATATATGACATTTCCAGAAAGGCAGATTTATAGAGACATACGGGAGATTAGTGTTTGCCTGGGGCTAGTGGTAGGAATGAAGAATGACTACAAATGGGCAAAAAGGATTGTTTTAGGTCAATTGAAAAGTTCTAAAACTGCATTTTGATGATGGCTACACAACCGTAAATTTACTTTAAAAAACCTTTCAATTACACACCTTAAAAAAGGGTACATTTTATGGTATAGTATACCTTAATAAAGCTATTAAAATGCATCCTAGTGTGTACAACAAAGACCGAAAGAAAAATTGATCAATACAATTTTATCACATGGGATTTACTTGAGTATGCCTAGAAGATCCTTGATAGTTCCCATCTTGGAGAAAAGAGGGCAGATACTTTTAGTTTGAAATTATTTTGTCCTAATATTGACTTCTACAGCAACCCCAGGAGCCAGAGATTAAGTGGATCTCTTATAGTCAAGCTATAATGACCACCAACTAATGATAGCTGATGATTCTAGAGCTATCAAAGAGAAACTCACCTAGGGAAAAAGTCCTAATGAATACACACTCAACATACTACGTAATTCACAGGTTTTTACATTTGATGCAGCAGGTTCATCTGCTTCACAACTCATGTGGACCTAAGAAATTAAGAAATCATGAACTATATGAGCTTGCAGCTTCAGACTAAAGGAAATAAATTTTCAGAGTACAAACAAGTGTATGTTTGTGGTCCATCAGAGCATTATCAAAGCTAAAAGTAACTGACTAGGTTCAATGGATGTAAAATCATCTAGATGGTTAGAAAACGAGCTCCTTTCAAAAGTTGTCAGCTGCTGTAAAAAATAAACAATAAAGAGAAAATAAGCTCCCTCAACGTAAGAACATTTAGAATCCAATGAACAGAGATAAATACACTGTGGCTTTCCAAGTATTTTTTTTTTTCAGGAGACAGAGATTCGCTCTTGTCACCCAGGCTGGAGTGCAATGGCGCGATCTCAGCTCGCTGCAACCTCCGCCTCCTGGGTTCAACAGATTCTCCCGTCTCAGCCTCCCAAGTAGCTGGGACTATAGGCATGCACCACCACACTGAGCCAATTTTTTAGTAGAGACAATTTCACCATGTTGGCTGGCTGGTCTCAAACTCCTGACCTCAGGTGATCTGTCTGCCTCGGCCTCCCAAAGTGCTGTGATTACAGATGAGTCACCAAGCCCAGCTAGTTTTCCAAGTATAAAAAAGTCTGTGGCAATGTAACAATCTCACAGAGCACAAAGAAGCAAACTATGTTCCTTTTCTTCCCACTCCAGACAGGAAAGACAGATACCTATCTAGTTAGGCCTCATCTTCAAAGGAGGTCTGATTTTATTTTTTCCCAGTAACTAAGAAGAAGAGTCTACAAAACTGGATGTTCCTAATAATTTAGTAATTTAACATTTTTCAGCCAGGCGCAGTGGCTCATGCCCGTAATCACAGGACTTTGGGAGGCAGAGGTGGGAGCATCACCTGAGGTTGGGAATTCGAGACCAGCCTGACCACATGGTGAAACCCTGTCTCTACTAAAAGTAAAAAATTAGCTGGGCATGGTGGCACATGCCTGTAATTCCAGCTGCTCAGGAGGCTGAGGCAAGAGAATCACCTGAACCCAGGAGGTGGCTGCAGTGAGCTGAGATCGTGCCATTGCACTCCAGCCTGGGTGACAGAGCAAGACTCCCATCTCAAATAAAAAAGAGAAAAAAACATTTTTCAGATCAAATTGTTTAATATTATGTTTTGACAAAAATATTTCCACATAGACTAAACACACTGTTTGGTTATAATTAGGTTTTCTTGTGTCCCTGAGAAAATTCTCTTTAAAAAATTATTATTATGGCTGGGCGTGGTGGCTCATACCTGTAATCCCAGGACTTTGGGAGGCTGAGGCTGGTAGATCACAAGGTCAGGAATTCGAGACCAGCCTGTCCAATATGGTGAAACTCCATCTCTACTAAAAATACAAAGATTAACCAGACGTGGTGGTAGGTGCCTGTAGTCCCAGTTACTTGGGAGGCTGAGAGGGGAGAATTGCAGTGAACCGAGATTGTGCCACTGCACTTCATCCTGGGTGACAGAGCAGGACTCTGTCTCCAAAAAAAAAAAAAAAAGAAAAAAAAAGAAAGAAAAGACATTGATTGACATAATGGTGGGGCAGGGCTACCTAATGAAGTGTCAGTGGTCAACAATCCCACCCATTCACTCAGAGTTTCTGGTGTTCTCATCTTTCACATATATAACAAAATATAGATTTAACTTCACCTAAGCACAAAACCTTACCATAAAGAATGAAACTAGCAGCCGGGCCCGGTGGCTCAAGCCTGTAATCCCAGCACTTTGGGAGGCTGAGGCGGGTGGATCACAAGGTCGAGAGATCGAGACCAACCTGGTCAACATGGTGAAACCCCGTCTCTACTAAAAATACAAAAAATTAGCTGGGCATGGTGGCACGTGCCTGTAATCCCAGCTACTCGGGAGGCTGAGGCAGGAGAATTGCCTGAACACAGGAGGCGGAGGTTGCGGTGAGCTGAGATTGCGCCATTGCACTCCAGCCTGGGTAACTAGCGAAACTCCATCTCAAAAAAAAAAAAAAAAAAAAAAAGGATGAAACCAATGTTGGGTTTTACCATGCTATGGCATCCTTCAGATCACATTTGCCTTCCAGAGTGCAATCATAAAGGTGTTCATCTTTTGTAAAAGTTATCTGAAGACTTCAGGTTTTCCTAGTCTTATTAACCTGTTTCTAATCAAATGTATTCTCTTTTTCAAGCAACATTTTTAAAATAGAATATTTTACACAACATAAAATTTACCATTTTAAAGTGTACATTTCAGTGATTTTTAGTACCATGGTTTTATTTACTATGCTGTGCAACCATCACCACTAATTCCACATTTCCATCACCCCAAAAGAAACCTTATACCTATTAGCAGTCCTAATCAATTCCCCTCCTCCTTTCCCTGACAACTACTCATCTTTCTGTCTCTGTAATTTGCCTATTCTGGATAATACATATGAATGGAATCATATAACATGTGATCTTCTGTACCTGACTTCTTTCACTCAGCACAATGTTTTCAAGATTCATTAGTCAACACAAGATCTTCACTTTTTTTTTTTTTTTTTTGAGACGGAGTTTCGCTCTTGTTACCCAGGCTGGAGTGCAATGGCGCGATCTCGGCTCACCGCAACCTCCGCCTCCTGGGTTCAGGCAATTCTCCTGCGGAGTAGCTGAGATTACGGGCACGCGCCACCATGCCCAGCTAATTTTTTTTGTATTTTTAGTAGAGACGGGGTTTCACCATGTTGACCATGGTTGGTCTCGATCTCTCGACCTCGTGATCCACCCGCCTCGGCCTCCCAAAGTGCTGGGATTACAGGCTTGAGCCACCGCGCCCGGCCTTTTTTTTTTTTTTTAATGAGACAGTGTTGGTCTGTTGCCCAGGATGGAGTGCAGTGGTGCAATCTTGGCTCACTGCAACCTCCAGCCCCCGGGATCAAGCAATTCTCCTGCCTCAGCCTACCGAGTAGCTGGGATTACAGGCATGTGCCACCACACCCAGCTAATTTTTGTATTTTTAGCAGAGATCAGGTTTCACCATATTGGCCAGGCTGGTCTCGAATTCCTGACTTTGTGATCCGCCCGCCTCGGCCTCCCAAAGTGCTGGGATTGCAGGCCTGAGACACCGTACCTGGCCCTTCACTTTTTATGGCTGAATAATATTCCATTCATTGTATGACCAGACCATATTTTATTTATCCATTCATCAGCTGATGCACATTTGGGTTGTTTTCACTTTTTGGCTACTATGAATAATGTTCCAATCCACTCTTTTTTAATAATAGGCCACATACAAGTCTATTTTAAACTTTGTGTATGTAAAAATGGAAAGTGTGCTCATTGTTTTTAAAAAGCTGAGACTACAAAAACATCCTGAAAGAAATAAATCTTAACATCTTTTAACTCAGGAAATAATATCAGAAGTATGTGTCTATCCCTCATAGGGTTGTGAATGGCTTCTAAGCAATTTAGTGCTTTCCAGTGAAAATAAAGCAACTCCTGCTAAAACAAAAATACCTTGGGAAAAAAGAAAAATAACAAAGCAACTCTCAACAATGGCTAAAATTGGGGGCACAAATTGATCAAAAGATTAAACGTAAAGTAAATTTATGAAGATAACACTGACTGAAGTTTTATAAAAGCCATTTATCTTGTCATGTACAGTATTAACAAGTCACGTATTTTCTTTTGGAGACTTGTCCCTTTGTACATTACACTTCCTTCTCCAACACTCCAATCTTACTGTAACCAGAGTGTCTTTGCACTCCACTCTGCCTGGAACACACTTCCCATAGTTAACTCCTAGTCATTTGGGTCTCAGTGTGATACCATCTGCTCAGAGGTTATCTGATCTCTCCAGAAAGTGCCCTGGTTCCCTTTGCTCTAGATCATACTCAAGTCCTTATCTCAATCTGAAATGGTCACTTCCAGAGGGTAGAGACCTCATCTGTCTTGTTCACCACTTTACCCCCCATGCTTTTAAGAGCACTTGGCACATACTGGGCACTCAAGTATCTATTAAGTTAATGAATCGTGAATATTTACCTCAACAATGTTTGGTTTTAAGAAGTCTTACTGTAAATGTGAAGATTTATTTTGACGAATAGGAAAAAGTAAAAAATTTGTTCCCACCCCTTATCTGCCTTGAAAACAGACACAAAAAAATCCTTCAAAACATAGGTGAATGCTTACACTGAAGAATTATTTGCCGTTTTTCTGAGGCTCAAATTTTAACTGAAAAGTCTTATCTTTTGACAACTCTAGTTGAGTAAGGAGGAGAGAAGAACCAGAATAGGATGTGCTGGGGGTGGGAAGGCTGTTACACAGAGCAGCTGCTATGATAAATAAGAAACTGGGAAGTCCGATATATAAAGAGAACTTTAGGTTACTTTGTGTTCAACATAAGTCACCCTTTGCCACCTCCTCAAGAAAACCATAGCAAAGGTCGCTGTTACTTAAAAACAAAACAAATGCAGATGAGAAACCATCTCCTCTAAGTCTTCCTTTACCTGTGTATCAATAAACATTTCCTCCTGTGTTACCTCTGGACTTGGTACATTAGCACCTTGAGTTGTGTCTCAGCTCCAAGGGGCAGAGGGTTAACTGGTGTTTCCAGCTGGGCACAGTGGCTCATGCCCGTAATCCCAACACTTTGGGAAGCTGGTGGATCACCTGAGGTCAGGAGTTTGAGACAAGCCTGACCAACACGGTGAAACCCCATCTCTACTAAAAATACAAAATTAGCCAGGCCTGGTGGTACATGCCTGTAATCTTAGCTACTTGGGAGGCTGAGGCAGAAGCAGCACTTGAACCTGTGAGATGGAGATAGCAGTGAGCCAAGATCGCACCATTGCACTCCAGCCTGGGCAGCAAGAGCAAGACTTTGTCTCAAAAAAAAAAAAAAAAAAAAAAAAAGTGTTTCCTCCATACTGCCAGTATCTAGAACAGTGGCTGGCACAAATGTCTGTTCAACAGGAAACCTAAAAGCAGTATCTAAATCAAAAAGATCAACCATTTTAACGATACTCTTTTTCCTTTGGAGACAGGGTCTCGCTCTGTCACCCAGGTTGCAGTGCAGTGGTGCAATCTCAAAACACTGCAACCTACGCCTTCTGAGTTCAAGCAATTCTCTGCCTCAGCCTCCCGAATAGCTGGGATTACAGGCACCCGCCACCACACCTGCCTCATGACTGAACTATCTCTCTCTCAGTTTTACTCAGCAAGGCAAAGAGGTAACTTGAAAAGTTTGAAGAGGCATACAAATGAAACACATACTTACTGTTTCAAAAGTATTCAATACCATCAAAGGGAAAAAAACATTAAAATAATCTCCACAATCGTGAAATCTGACAGGCACAGGTCTTGAGATGGACTGACAAAGGCTTGCAGGGGGCCCACACTGATTAAAGTTCAAAAACATTTCGTATTTCCATTTTAAGACCTCTTTAACGAAGGTATCAGAGACAGACTGCGATGTCAAGAAAATGTTTACTGGAGAGGAAGATGGAAAATATTTGCTTTCACCAAATGGAACTTTGCAACCTTGCCTGCTGGAATTATTTGGAGACTGAGGCTGAAGAACATTGCATGAATTCATTTCATCCACTGGCTTCTGAGATACAAGGGGAGTTGGCTGTGGTACTTTCAAAATTGACTGTAACCCATTTGATTTATTTTTTAGGGATGGTGAAAGGGCTGAAGAAGATTCCAAAGATTTAGAAAGACTAGCAATTCGTGAAGTACTCTTTGAGCTAAAAATCTTAGCAGTGGTAGGTCTCAAAGGTTTAGATGCAGAAAGGGGCAAGCCAGGTTTACGAAATACATCTTCATCTGCCGCTTTCACTTCAGAGTGTTCTGAGCAGTATTCACCCTGATTTTTCGTGGCTTCAACACAATCTTTGTACTTACACTTTGTGCCACTCAAAGATTCCAACTGAGGCCGACTTACAGAATCTTCTTCAACCTGAACTGTATCTTTTCCATGAATTAGTTCAATGAATTTATAATTATCATTCTCCATTTGCGAACATAAATCCATATCTTCAGGATCATGCTGTGTTAAAAATAAGTTATCTTCCTCTGTATTACTGCTGGGGTCAGGCTCTCCCTCTTTCAAAGTTGCCGTTTCTATATGATGTACTGACAGATCACCTCCACCTAGAGGGTCCTCTGAAGTAGTGACAATTACTTCATTTATCGGTATTGTTCCACTTAACACTACAGAATCACACTGGTTCAAAAGGCAAACATCATCAGTCACTGGAGATCCATGTTTTGCTTTAGTGGTTTCTGGTTCAGAAGGCATGCATTTTATTATCTGTTTTCCATTACTGTTGGCAAGAACTTCAGTTTCTCCTGTATCATTATAATCTGACCTATCAGATTCTGGTACAGATGTGTCAGATTTGTGTGCTGTATGCAGCCCTGTTCTTGTAGCATCTGTACTTTTACAACCAGAAAGTCCTCTTCTATTTTTTTGTGATTTGGGTCTCATCTGCCTTCGCATCTGAAGTTCTTGACTAATCAGCAGTTTCTTGTTATTTCTGACAGACAGGTTCTGAGGAGGAATTAATTTAGTCTTTTTTGGAGTATCAACTACCCCAACAGCTCTGCCATGATCACGTAATTGAGCTAAATAATCTAAAGATCGCTGGGACAACTCAAATGCCATACGAGGACCCTTTTTCAGGCGAAGTCTCTCAGCTGTTGAAGTTGGTTCAGGACACTGACGAAATTTCTTTGGTGGCACTACAGCAGGAGTTGTCCTACAACTTAGGTAATTGGAACTCTTATTCTGTCCTTTTTTGGCATCTGAATGCGTTTTCTTAGGGTTCTTAGAAACTGGAACTTTCTTGACAGGTTCTGAATTAGCACAAAGCTTTGAAGATTTCTTTTGTGAAACTGTAGTGGCTCTCTGAATACTTGAATTGGGAGTAGTAGTCCTTCCAGCTGTACTTTTAAAATCGTTTCCAGCAAGCTCTCTCTTATTAGTATCAGACTGGCCCTCATTTATGACAGAAGATGAAGGCCTCACAAGATCTTCAGCCATTGGTTTTTCAGATCGTTTTCTCTTAGGCTTTTTTACTTCAATTTCACAAAATTCCTCAACAGAAATACTACTGTTCTGTTGTCTCATGTGTTCTTCAGTGCCCTCTGCTCCTTTTTCAACAACTTCAGATACATAATCTGTACAACCCCGATCATCTGTGATATTGGCTATATGAGTCAAACAATTTTTCTCATCATCTTGAACTGAATTATTATTGTCTAGATAATCTTGCCAAACTGAAAACACTTCAAATGTACTTTCAAACTCAAAACACTGAGAATCACATTCCTCAAGCTGCAAGAGAGACTTTGTCTTTTCTTCCTTTACTGGATTCTTTTCCTCCTTACTATTAACTATTGAAATGTGCTGCCCTGGGCTTTCCTTTTCAATGCATATTTTGTCCTGTTTAGTGAGTTTCTTAAGACTCAGGATTGTTTCATCATCATCATCAGAATCTGAAATAATAATAACCTGTCCACAGGAGGTATCTCCAGCATTATTTTGGTTAGCTGTGAAACATCTTTTATGTTCTTTCACTTTCCTTTGTAGCTGGGATGAGCTCTGAGGTGAATCTGATGGAAACTTACTAAGACTGGCTTGAGCTATTAAAGATAATTTGTGAAGGTCTCTGTCTATCTGAGAATCCGTTAAGGTGTCAGATTTAGGACTGATAACAGGGGCCTGTTCTCTTGTCAAGCTAAAAGAAATCCGATTGGTACTATTACTCATCTCCTTATCTCTTGATTCAGGTACAGTCACAAGATCATTAAAGGAAGATGATTGCTTCACTACAGTATCGGTCATTTCTGTAAAGGGGATCAAATCTTTATCAACAACATGACATTCCTGTATTTTACAATTGTTTTCATGGGAAGAGAAAATATCTAACTCTGCATTCTTTAATTGTTTCTCTTTTGGCAATAAATTGTTCTGAGATTTTTGTTCTCCATTCTTATCATCATCCAGAACACCACTAGGGTCTAAAGAAAGATTGTGTATGAAACCATCTCCTTTCTGAACTCCTGTGTCTTTCCTTGAATAGAAACTCTCAATGTTAGATACAGTTGGATTTTCATCTAAATTGATAGCATTATTGACCAAAGTAATCTTCCTGTGTTGCTTCATTACATGTGATAACTTTGCACAGATTTCATCTTTCTTTTCCTTAATTTTTTGTTTTAAGGTTTTAGCAAGAGCATCACCCTTTAAAGAGAAATCTTCATTTGATGCAGACACTTTTTCCAAAGCATCAGTGCTAGAATCAGTCAATAAATGCGTTGATACTATTATTCCTCTGTCACATCCCCTTTCTGGACCATTTCTTGAAGTACAATTCTTTGATGTATATGAAGAGTTCTCTTTTACAGACTTCTGGTTCCTTGTACTTATTTTAATTGGACCTTCAGCTCTTTCAGTAAAAAGGTTTTTACTACTCTGCTTTAAGCATGACCCAGCTGAGAGATGGTCTTCTAGTTTTACATCCTTTATAGAATCTTGCTCATTATTGTCACCTTCTATACTGTTATCTGCTTTGATCAATACATTGTCTTGCGTTTTCATTGGTTCTTTAGAAAATGTTGGGCTGGAATCTCCCCAACAATGCATATCTTTTCTAGACTTCTTCCCTATTTGCTCACTTTCTTCTTTATTATTAGATGCAGGAGACGTTTTACATGTAGAAGTCAGATCCACAAAAGTGTTACATGGAGGTGCTTTAAATTTTATGTTTCTAATAATTTGCTTTAAGCAAGTTTGTAGCTCGTGGGTTTCCTGACTAGTCAACTGCCAGCCTAGAGATAAATTTCCTCTAAGGAATAAGTTGAGCTTATCCCAGAATCGCTTGCAAAGAGAATGCTGCCCAAGCTGATAACCTTCTTTAAGAAGACTTCTAATCAACTGCACACAAGCAAGTTGTACAGAATTAGATGGCATTGAATGCAACGACAGTGATGATATCATTGCTGTTCCTTTGGAGCAATTTCCAGATGACTTCTCAGAACTCCGTGCAAATGCAGTGGTAGGAAGCTTGGCACATTTGACAACAGCTTCCACCCATTGTTGGGAACTTACCCAGAGCAAATGCAAACATTTTTTATTTCTATGCAGTTCAATCACCGATACCAAAATTAGAAGAAAAAATTCAGTGACTTTGTCACACACGGCATCTGTTTGGTTGAGGACTTCTTTGACTTCAGAGTACAGATGATGAATAACCTCTAGTATGTAAGCCACACCCAAATCCTTAAGATCCATGAGGGACTGAACAAAAGGTATGAACCATAAAAATGTGCTGTTATGAACACGCATGTCTTGGCCAATATCTGACTGAAGTACATTGGCTAACGTTTCCATTTCTTCATACATGTTAGGACAATAATCTGGGCAAATGGCTGTTCTCCATCCAGAATCCTAAAAAGAAAAAAATGCTCATGTTCAGATAAATAAGCACCATTTATGATAGGTTTAACACTCAAATCATTAACAAAAATATGTTTCTCAACTCTCTTATTTTGGTTTACAACATTATTATGGTATACAATGGTATAATTATGGCATACAATTATATCACAATCATAATATACCTAACTCCCAAGAAACTGAAATATAAATTGAATTTTGAGATTAAAGTTTCATGAAAAGGCAAATTTATACCACCTTCATATACTCTTGACTTTCTTTCCACTAGCTAGTTTTAATTTCTACTCATGCTACTTATGTACCCATAAACTTTCCATCTTTCCCAAATGTACTTAGAAACTAATTTTCCGGCCGGGCATGGTGGCTCATGCTGTAATCCCAGCACTTTGGGAGGCTGAGGCGGGTGGATCACGAGGTCAAGAGATCAAGACCATCATGGCCAACATGGTGAAACCCCGTCTCTACTAAAAATACAAGAAAATGAGCTGGGCATGGTGGCGCACGCCTGTAGTCCCAGCTACTTGGGAGGCTGAGGCAGGAGAATCTTTTGAACCCTGGACGTGGAGGTTGCAGTGAGCCAAGATGGCGCCACTGCACTCCAGCCTGCTGACAGAGCAAGACTCTGTTTCAAAAAACAAACAAACAAACACTGTCTACACAAGATAAAGGCAATAACATATCATCTAAATTTTCAGTGTTTTTTTTTTTAATACCTTTTTGGTCTTTTCAGGATTAAAATTGTATACAATCTGGCTGCATGTCACCATATCATCCAAATATGACTCCGGTTCTACCTTGGTCCTTAAATATTAAGAATAAATAGAAATTACTGAAATGAAGGGGGAGGAAATAAAAGGAAGAAACACCTCTTGTTAAGTAATTTAGCTGTAACACACTTTCTTGTAGAGATGCTTAAATCTTGACATTAGCTGAACTAACCTTACAGAGCTGTTCCGTATATGCTGAATCTCTCTATTGTAGCTTGTGTTGTTGATAATGGTTTGAAATGCTTCAATAGGATCAATACGTTGACCCCAGACCTTAGAACCAAGACGATCCAGAATCAACATAAAACAGTGTAATGCTGGCCAGAAAGGATCGACACTATCATCTGAAATACAATGGCACAATCATTGAATTACAAAACAGTTAGAAAAATATACAAAAACATATTGAGAATTAAGCATTCTTTATCTGGTTAGTAGCAACAGAACTAAAAGCCAAGCAGCAAATAATTTAAGGTAACACACCACCAATCCCTACAGACACATAAGTTTTAAAAAGAGGTACATTTTCGAAAACCTTTTTCAATCAATAGTATGATGCTTCTGCAAAATAATAATAATAATAATAATAATAATAATAATGGCAAACAAATTATTTAATGGGCAAGAAAACAGTCTAGGTAAACACAATCTTCTCAGACCCTGTTTGCCATACCAGAAACAACCTTTCTAACTCAGCTCCTCAACCTCTCCCTAAACTTTATAGTTCCATCTTCCAATAACAGAAAAGGAGAAGAAAAAAATAAAGAAAAAGAAGCTTGGTATTTACAGATCTACATGAAGCCCATAATACAAGAAAATCTGTTTAAGCATGATCCTAAATTTTATGTCATACAGCTAGCGTTAAGGGTCTAAATCCCTTAGCTAAGGGTAAGGCAAAGATACACACTCTTCATCTATCTGTATCTCAACATGGCTTTGCTGTTATCTACTTTTCATCCAACTTGCAGAAACTTCCATTAGTCACAAGCTCTTTCCTCTACCCCTTTCACTCTTCTCTATCAGAGAGGCAGTAGCAAGATACTGTCCTCCTCAAAGGCCTTCAAAGGCTCCGTAATGTATTCCAAGAAAATTCAAAGTCCTCAGCCAAGAACTTAAAAGATCTTGATCTACTGTTTATTGCCATTTTTATTTTTCATATTACCATAATCATACACCATCTACAGCAAAAATAGATCACTGGCTTTTTCCGAAATAAGCACCAAAATGCCTTCGCTACTAGGACAACCTATCAAAATTCTATCCATCCTTAAAAGTCCAGCTTAAATGCCTCCTCCTATATTAAACTTTCCCCCACTTTAGTCATCTACAGTACTCTTCTGAGGCAAGTGCTTGAATTCACTCAGTTACTGCTAGTTGTTAAGTCATCCTAGAACATGTGACTTTAATTCCCTCATCTTTCTCAGACTTTATCACAGTCATCTGAACTTTCTCTTATATTTTTTTATCCTCTACTACATCTGAAACACTGCCTGTGTCTAGTGAGCTCACAAATAAGAAAGTAGTTAGGCGAAGACAATTATAAAGTTTCTTAAAGAGGTAATTAAAATTTTGAAGACAAGGCTGGGTTCAGTGCCTCACGCCTATAAATCCCAACACTTTGGGAGGCCGAGGCAGGAGGACTGCTTGAGGTTAGGAGTTCAAGGACAGCCTAGGCCACATAGTGAGACTTCATCGCTATCAAAAATTTTTAAATTAGCTGGGTAAGGGGGCACATGCCTGTGGTCCCAGCTACTAGGAAGGCAGAGGCAGGAGAATGACTTGAACCTGGGAGGTCAATGCTACAGTGAGACCTGACTGAACCATTGCACTCCAGGGTGGGAGACAGAGTGAGATCCTGTCTCAAAAGGGAACAAAAAAAGGTTTTTTTTGAAAATGGTAAGGGAGATAGCTTAGCAGAAAGGACAGAATTATGTATGTAGTTAGGCACAGGGAAAGAAATAAACAATATAGGTAGTAAATGTTGGCAGAAGAGTAACAGCCTTAATCAGAAATAATCTAGCAAGAAAATATATGCCACAAGCTGGGCACAGTGGCTCACGTCTGTAATCCCAACACTTTGGGAAGCCAAGGTAGGCAGATCACACAAGGCCAGGAGTTCAAGACTAGCCTGGCAAACATGGTGAAAGCCCATCTCTACTGAAAATACAAAAATTAGCTGGGTGTGGTGGTGCACACCTGTAATCCCAGCTACTCAGGAGGCTGAGGCAGGAGAATCGCTTGAACCCAGGAGGCCGAGGCTACAGTGAGCCAAGATCGCACTACTGCACTCCAACCTGGGTGACAGAGAGAGAAAGAGACTCAGTCTCAAAACGAAAAAAAAAAATGTGTGTGTGTGTGTGTGTGTGTGTGTATATACACACACACACATACACACACACACGCACGCACTATCAACAAAAGAATAACATTATTTATATTAGAATCTCCCACAAATGAGTTTATATACAACATTCAAGTTGCCTGAAGAGAAGTAAATGAAGGGAAAAAATTATATTTGTAATGTTTTCATAGGATCTGGTATACTTGGTCTTTATTAATTTATTACTTCATCAAGATTAGAAACCCTTATTTAATTACAGATCTTTAATGATTAGCATGACACAAGCACCAGCAAAAGGAGGTCGGGATCTAATAATAAACACGACCACAAGTTTTAGGCATCACTATCTAGACTATCTAGAGCAGTATATCCAAGACAATGTTCTGTGACGATGGAACTCTTCTGTCTATGCATTAATCAACACAGTGCAGACACACAAGGCTGCTGAGCCTTGAAATATGGCTAGTGGGACCACATAACTGCATTTATAATTTTAATTAACTTAAATTTTAATCACATGTGGCTAGCAGTTACTGTACTGGACAGAGAAGCAGAGAAACAAAGAGGTAGGCAAAGGAAGGCCATGGGACAGAGAAGGCTTTTCCCACAATATTAACCACAATGTCAACCACAATGTCATTACAAACGGATCTCCCAGAGGGTTCTGATTTTCATCCTACCACCAACTTTTTCATATTAAAAACTAGATTAACTTCCCTTCTATGAAAGGAAGGTGTTGCATTAAATTCTAAAGGTCCTTTCTGATTTAACAGTCTGAATCTGGGTAGGGCACGGTGGCTCACACCTGTAATCCCAGCACTTTGGGAGGCCAAGGCAGGCAGATCACCTGAGGTCTGGATCAGCCTGGCCAATGTGGTGAAACCCTATCTCTACTAAAAATACAAAAAAAATAGCCAGGTGTGGCCATGTGTATCTGTAGTCCCAGCAACTTGGGAGGCTGAGGCAGGGGAATTGCTTTGAACCCAGGAGGTGGAAGTTGCAGTGAGCCAACATCACACCATTGTACTCCAGCCTGGGCAACAAGAACAAGACTCCAACTCCAAAAAAAAAAAAAAAAGACTGAATCTGTTAATAAACCAGAAAAATTCTTTTCTCCACAACATACACCAATTCCTGCAATGACACTATCATTTTTAAAGTGCATCATCATCACCACCATACTCAAAAACATTCAGCAAGTAAAGTTTATTACCATCTGATTGCCTCTCCATGGTGTGAAGTATTAATTGCATAAAATCATTTTGTTTGTCTGGGCCCAACAATAGTGAATCCATGGCTTGTTCCTCAAGAATGGTCAGCAACATGCAAATACCTGTAAGATCATTTAGAGTTTTCTTGAATTGATGAGATAATACTATTCTAATGCCTTCAATGGTTTAGTGTGCAAAAGAAAAACAAGACAGAAAGATGAAGCAAGATAGCATTGTAGTATTTAGTTTCTCAAACATTTAAGTCTCAGATATTCATACACAACTGCTCCCAAGTAACAGAACTTTACACTAATTCAAGTGTGAAAGTGGAAAATGATTAGAAAACGATTTCTAAGATAACTACCATGAAACTTTTATTTCATCAATGTAAGAAGCCTTCAGTTTTAAGATGTACCATATTCCATATACCAGAAAGAAAGAAAAGAAAAAAAATCACTGCCAATCATGACACATGACCTTAAGATTTGGAATCAAGGAAATGGTGCAGAACTATTTTAAGCCACTACAGGACTAGTAAACAATGCTGATTAACTTTTAAATAAGATTCGATTCATTTGCCAGCACTTGAAAATGTAACTATTGTACAGAAAGCTAGGATAATGTTTAGTAACAAGGATAATGTTTAGTAACAAGATGTGTAATAATTAAGCCAACTTAATGACAGAATAAAAACTGAGAACTATAAAATCCTATCTTTAGCAATTCTTATCAGATCACCAAAAGAGAACACTTCCTTTTTAAGACACTCATAAAAACTATAAGGCTGGGTGTGGTGGCTCATACCTGTAATCTCAGCACTTTAGGAGGCTGAAGCGGGAGGATCACCTGAGGTCAGGTGTTCGAGACCAGCCTGATTAAAATGGTGAAACCCATCTCTACTAAAAATACTTTTTTAAAAAATAGCCAGGTGTGGTAGTAAACGCCTGTAATCACAGCTACTCAAGAGACTAAGGCAGAAGAATTGCTTGAACCTGGGAGGTGGAGCTTGCAGTGAGCAGAGATGGTGCCACTGCACTCCAGCTGGGCAACAGAGCAAGATTCTGTCTCAAAAAAACAGAACCATAGGGAAATACTAATATTAGTGTAGGAACAATACTCACCTAACCAATAGTTTTTGTAGTTGGTAGTATCATACATGTGTGAGGGCAGAAGAATCAGTTTACCCTTCTCAAGGACAGAAGAAGTATAAATGTCTGGACTCTCCAAAAGCCCCAACTCAATGACTTTAAAAAGGCAAGTTAAAACCTCTTGTAAGTCATAATAATCATCTCTGTCCACTTTCCCCAAGTTTCTTGCAGTCAGGATAGCCCAACGCCGAACCTAAATGCAGAACATAATGTGTTTATTACTTAATTCAATAAACAATGGTCTACATTGTTTATTGTATAATTTATACAGCAAGAGCACAGGTAAGAAAACAGGATTCTCTGCAAATTTTAAGACATGTGAGATACTAATTAATGCAATGTATAAATCTTATTTGATCCTGATTTGAACATACTGACCGTAATAAACAGTTCTAGACAATCGTTTCCATTCATTCAAACACTGATGCCAACACAACATTAAGAAATTATTCTTTTAGGGCCAGGCACAGTGGCTCACGCCTGTAATCCCAGCACTTTGGGAGGCCAAGGCAGGTGGATCACAAGGTCAAGAGATCAATACCATCCCGGCCAACATGGCGAAACCCCATCTCTACGAAAAAATACAAAAATTAGCTGGGCTTGGTGCCATGCACCTGTAGTCCCAGCTCCTTGGGAGGCTGAGGCAGAAGTATTGCTTGAACCCGGGAGGCAGAGGTTGCAGTGAGCCGAGATCGCACCACTGCACTCCAGCCTGGCGCCTGGTGACAGAGTGAGACTCTGTCTCGGGGTTGGGGGGGGGGGAATATATATATATGAGAATATATATATATACACATATATATATATATATACACATATATATATATACACATATATATATATTCTTTTAGATGCAATAACAGCATTTTTCTGGCCAGCGCAGTGGCTCATGCCTGTAATCTCAACACTTTGGGAGCCTGAGGTGGACAGATCACCTAAGGTCTTGAGTTTGAGACCAGCCTGGCCAACATGGCAAAACTTTGTCTCTACTAAGAATACAAAAAAATTAGCCAGGCAAGGTGGTGCACTCCAGCTGCTTGGGAGGCTGAGGCAGGACAATCACTTGAACCTGGGGTGAAGAGGTTGCAGTGAGCCAAGATCATGCCACTGCACTCCAGCCTGGGTGACAGAGTAAGACTCCATCTCAAAAAATGGTAATAATATTCTTCTGTTTTTTAAGTCCTTATCTTTTAGAAATACATACGAAAATATTTTGTGGATGAAATGCTCTGATATCTAAGATTTGCTCTAAACTAATCCAAAGGTAAGTGGAAGGCTGATCATGTATGGATAATAAAGCTAACTGATGGATGGGGGGTTTATTACACCATTCTCGCTACTTTCATGTTTATAATTTTCCATAACAGAATGAACATTCTGTTCAAAAAAGGAAAGAAAACACAAAATGAGGAATCTCAAAAGAAATCAAAGGGCATTTCTACATGGCAGAATAACACAGAGAAGTGATTTTGTATTTCTTAAAGGCTTTGAATTAAATTTAGTGCTCATAGCCAGCCTTAAAAAAATTAAAAAACAGCCGGGCGCGGTGGCTCAAGCCTGTAATCCCAGCACTTTGGGAGGCCGAGGCGGGTGGATCACAAGGTCAAGAGATCGAGACCATCCTAGTCAACATGGTGAAACCCCGTCTGTACTAAAAATACAAAAAATTAGCTGAGCATGGTGGCACATGCCTGTAATCCCAGCTACTCAGGAGGCTGAGGCAGGAGAATTGCCTGAACCCAGGAGGTGGAGGTTGCGGTGAGCCGAGATAGCGCCACTGCACTCCAGCCTGGGTAATAAGAGTGAAACTCCGTCTCAAAAAAAAAAAAAAAATTAAAAAACAAACTAGGTGGGCCGCTGTGGCTAACTCCTGTAATCCCTGCACTTTGGGAGACGCAGGCGGGTGGATCACTTGAGGTCGAGAGTTCGAGACCAGCCTGGCCAACATGGTAAAACCTCATCTCTACTAAATATACAAAATTAGCCAGGCGTGGTGGCACATGCCAGTAATCCCAGCTACTCAGGAGGCTGAGGCAGAAGAATCGCCTGAACCTAGGAGGCAGAGGTTGCAGTGTGCCAAGATCGCAATACTGCACTCTAGTCTGGGCAGCAAGGGCAAAAATCCGTCTCAAAAAAAAAAAACAAAAAAAACTAGGCCAGGAGTGGTGGCTCATGCCTGTAATCCCAGCACTTTGGGAGGCTGAGGCAGGCAGATCACGAGGTCAAGAGATCAAGACCATCCTGGCCAACATGTCTTTACTAAAAATACAAAATACAAAAATTAACTGGGTATGGCGGTGCGCAGCTGTAGTCCCAGCTACTCAGGAGGCTGAGGCAGGAGAACTGTTTGAACCTGGGAGGCGGAGGCTGCAGTGTGCTGAGATTGCACCACTGCACTCCAGCCTGGGTGACAGAGCGAGATGCTGTCTCAAAAAAAAAAAAAAAAAAAAAAAAAAAGCTAAATAGAACAGAAAAATATCTAAGTACATCCTTCACAATGTAAGTATTATTTCACAAAATACTTTATATTACATATGTACATGTATACACAAGGAAAACATTTTTTACTACAACTTGTAGTCGAAAGGTGGAAAAACACAGACCCCACAAGTAAAAGTATGAGCTCTATGTCAACATAAGCTACAAATTACAAACTACTGAAAAAGTTTTGGAATCCATGAGTCCTTACTGATAGTAAGTGGTAGAAGGGGGAAAGACTCTTGATTACTGTACAATCAATGTCAAGTGGTAACTAGTAAAGATGGAGTGTGCTGGAGTTAGGAAACTACCATATATTTTTTTTTTTCCTTTTTTTGAGACAGAGTCTTGCTCTGTCGCCCAGGCTGGAGTGCAGTGGCATGATCTCAGCTCACTGCATCCTCCTTCTCCTGGGTTCAAGCAATTCCCTGCCTCAGCCTCCCAAGTAGCTGGGATGACAGGTGCCTGCCACTACGCCCAGCTAATTTTTGTATATTTAGTAGAGATGGGGTGTTTCACCATGTTGGCCAGGCTGATCTTGAACTCCTGACTTCAGGTGATCTGCCTGCCTTGGCCTCCCAAAGTGCTGGTATTGACAAGCGTGAGCCACTGCACCCAGTCCTACTTTTTTTTTTTTTGAGAAAGAGTCTAGCTCTGTTGTCCAGGCTGGAGTGCACTGGCATCATCAGGGTTCGAAGCCTCAACATCCTGGGCTCAAGTGATCCTCCCACCTCAGTCTCCTGAGTAGCTAGGGCTACAAGTATGCAACTCCACACTCAGCTATTTAAAAAAAATTTTGGTGGGCCAGGTGCAGTGGCTCAATGCTGTAATCCCAGCACTTTGGGAGGCCAAGGCAGGCAGATCACGCGGTCAGGAGATCGAGACCATCCTGGCCAACAGGTGAAATCCTGTCTCTCCTAAAAATAAAAATAAAAAAATTCGCTGGGCATGGTGGTGCATGCCTATAGTCCCAGCTACTCCGGAAGCTGAGGCAGAAGAACTGCTTGAACCCAGGAGGGGGGGTTCAAGGTAGTGAGCCGAGATTGCGCCACTGCGCTACAGCCTGGATGACTGTGAGACTCTGTCTCAAAAAAAACATATTTTTTTGCAGACATGGGTTCTTGCTATGTTGTCAGGCTGGTCTTGAATTCCAGGCTTCAAGCAATGCCCTCCAGCCCTGGCTTCCTAAAGTCCTGAGATTTTGAGCATGAGCAACCAGACCCTGCCCTTTTCCCAATTTTTAACTAGTATTTTCACTATCTTTATGGTGTCTTTTGATAAACAGTAACTTTCATTTTAATATAGTCAAGTTCATCAACTTTCCTTTCATGATCAATACTTTCTTTTTTATAAAAACCCTTCCTCAGCAAGCATGGTGGCTCATGCATGTAATCTCAACACTTTGGGAGGCTGAGGTGGCGGGGCACTTGAAACAAGAGTTCAAAACTAGCCTGGGCAATATGGCAAAACCCCATCTCTACAAAAAATTAGACAGGTGTGGTGGCAGAGGCAGGAGGATGGCTTGTACTACTCAGGAGGCTGAAGCAGGAGAATTACTTGAATCTGGGAGGCAGAGGATACAGTAAGCTGTAATCATGCCACTGCACTCCAGCCTAGGTGACAGAGCAAGACCCTGCCTCAAAAAAATAAAAATAAAACAAACCTTTCCTCATCTTACAATCTGAATGACACACAACTCTATTTCCTGCTAAGAGTTTGAAAACCGAACCTAACTATGGTTTTTAGGATAGATTTTATCATTATCATAATGAGGTAGAGATCTAACTTCTCTTTCCATATAGTACACCTTTCCTATCATCTCCATTTTCAGTCCCTCTTTACCTCACAGACCTTACACATTGTCTCCTTAAAATATCAAAGATCCAAATGAGTAGGTATTTTTTTTTTTTTTTTTTTTTTTTTTTTTAAGATGGAGTCTTGCTCTTGTCGCCCATGCTGGAGTGCAGTGGCGCAATCTCGCCTCACTGCAGCCTGTCTTCCAGGTTCAACTGATTCTCCTGCCTCAGCCTCCCAAGTAGCTAGGATTACAGGTGCCCGCCACCATGCTTGGCTAATTTCTGTATTTTTAGTAGAGACGGGGTTTCACCACGTTGGCCAGGCTAGTCTTGAACTCCTGACCTCATATCTGCCTGCCTTGGGCTCCCAAAGTGCTGGGATTACCAGGTGTAAGCCACCATGCCTGGCCGAGTAGGCCTCTTTGAGCTTTCTATTTTATTCCACTGGCCAATCTATCTGTCCACATATGTCTTAGGACTATACATCCTAATTACTAAAGCTTCACAGTAAGTTCTGCTTATCAATCTCCCTTATCTACTCTTTTTCTGAGATGTTGTGACAATTTTTGGCACCTTCCTCTTTCATATAAAATTTTTCATAGCATCTTAACACATTATGCTAAAAACCTTGCTGGAATTTGTTAGAAACACTCTGAATCACAAGACTGGTTTGGAGGAAACGGGCATCTTTCTGTTATTAAGCTTTCCTATACTGTATAAAGTGTCTCTCTTCATTTATTTAGACCCTCTCATCTGTCAATTAAATTTTATAATCTTCCTTTAAAGGTCTTGATATCTTTGTGAGATTTACAGGTAGCCATTCAATATTTTTAAAATTTACTATAAATGGAAACTTCTTTTTGGCTACCTGTATTTAAAAATGTAACTGAGTTTTAGAAATCCATCTTACATCTAGTCA